TTTTCTCCAATAGTATTTCTAAGGTATGTCTTAAGTCTTTTTAACGTAGAAAATGACCTTTCACTGCTTGCTGTAGTTACGGGAAGTGTAGCTATTATTTGGAGAAGTTTATAAGTAGATGGAAAAATGAGTGGGTTACATGCTATAAGAGCTTCTAATGCATTTTTTGGTTTTTCTGTTCCAACAAATTTTTGTGTCCATGTCAATACTTCTCCAATTACTGAATCTGAACTACATTGAAGATCTTCACATACTTTTCTGCCAAACTTTTTATGTTTTCTTCTCTATTTGGCAAATTATTGTTTGGTAAGAGACAGCAAAAATTGGTAATTAGAGATTTATGTGCAATGAACCTATCATGAAGTTGACTAATAAAATTATCTAAAAATGGAATAAACAATGATATTTTATAGTATTCATTTGGACAAGTAGTTTTTACATTAAACCGATTTTTTTGTATGTTTGTTAAACGAGGTAAAGTTATTTCAATATCAAGTGACATACATTTTTCTTTCACTTTCAAAAATAGTTTCTTAAAATCCTCATCTGCATTATTTCTGATATTTTTTAACACATCAGATACATTATCTGCCAGAGACATGTCTTCAATCAAATCAATATTTTGCATTTGAAGAAGTTTACTAAGAGGTAAACTTATGCTAAATACTTTTGCTAGCAGATGTGTTGCCAAAATAAATTCAGGTTGCTTAATAGCACACAAAAGTTGATAAGCTCCTGATGACGATTCTCTGTCTGGCCATGTAGAAATAATTGATAATCCATCAATAACTGCATCAAATAATTCCATAAAAGTAATTATGGAGTCATGCCGATCGACCCATCTTGTTGGACAAAGTAATTTTAGTTTAGTAATCTGTGATTCAGGACATACACGTTTTATTGAATCTAACATTACATTTTGTCGTTTAGGGTATTTAAAAAACACACATACTTTTTGTATGGTACCAGTACAGTTTCGTATACTATCACAGTAGAATATAATCAAGACTCAGTCTCTCAGCAGTACGATAGTATATGGTATAAAAGAATAATTGATAAAAGTATAAATAGAACAATATTACCCGTCGCTGTCGTCGGGTCATACATACACGCCATAGACATATACATATGTTTATATAATTCTGAGTAGATGTGGGATCATTCGGTCGTCGGTGCGATAAGCACTCGACGATCACCGAATAGCGTCCCACAGCCGTACATAGAAAATACTAAAATAATATTAAATAATAATAAAAATAAAAGTATTAAAATCATACAATAAAAACATTTTTTTTTTTTTAAGGCCAAGGGGGGGGGGGGGGGTTTGAACCCCTAAAACCACCCCCTGGCTACGCCACTGGATAAGGACAAATGTTTTAAAGATATCAAATGCATTAAAAATATTTAATTTATTTTATTATTCATTCTAATAAATATTACATACCAATATTATATATAGAATATAGATATACAATCTCATAATGATAATTGACATTTAAAAGGAACAACATTCTTGAATTCGTCAATAATTTCATTAATTTAATTTACACTTAATTAATAAATAGGGCCCATTTCGTTTTAGTGAAGGGTCCGGGGGTGCCCAGGCACCCCCTTTGCTCACACCTATGAGCATATTGTCTAATATAAGTAGGGCTGTGGATTGAATGCATTAAAAAACCTAAAAAAATGCAATAAAATATGCACCTAAAATGCAAAATATGCACTTAAAATGGTTTTTAATTTAATTTTTATATTTATATTAATATTAGGTAGGTACAGGATATTAAACATTAGTATAAAAAAGTGTTTATTTATTAAAAAAAAAATAATATAAATATTGATTGAATTTGAATTTACATTTGCATTAAGTTAATGCTATTCACCTGCAACATTTTTAAAAATTTTTTTTTGTATTTATTTTGTTAAAATAATAAAACAAACTTAAAGATATTTATTGCCGGATACCTTTTTCATCTTAAGTATTTACTGTTGCATTGGACAACAAGTGCTCGTTTGATGTTCTAAAATAAATTGTTTGTCTGTCAACAAATTTTTAAATACCTACCGAAAAACTCCTTACAACATCTACAGACGTAATAGGAGCACATCGCAAAGAGCCATGTCATCAAAGCTGACTTCATCTGGGAGAGACGTTCTGGACAGTTCAGTTAACTGGAGAATTTTACAGCACGTGTAAAATAAAAAAAAAAATTAAAAAAAACAAGTCAATTGACAGAATTCGATTAAAAATACTAGAAAATGAATTAAAAAAGCAAAATAAGACCTAAAAATGCGAAAAAATGACCTAAAAAAATTAAAAATGTCAAAAAATGCAAAAATGTACAAAATAAATGTTTCATACATATATTCGTAGTTACATAATTTAAATTATGTACTAACAAAGCTATGTTTTACAATCACCAAAAAGAAACACTTTCCTATTAATTCACAGCCCTAAATATAAGTGATCATATTTCGCCAGAAACGACAGAAATTTAAATTTAACTGCGTATAATTTGAGACAAGACAAATATGAACCTGAAGCCTTAAACATCCAAGCTTTAAACTATGAGCTATATTTGAAATTTATGTTTACCATATCAGTTAAATATGGACTTCGGTGATGCTTTTTCAAAATTATTATTCTAACACGTCAGTGGCGTACACTGGAGGGTTTGAGGGTAAGCAACTGCTACCCCTGATTTTTTGGTAGGTGGGTGGGTGGACCTCCTGGCTCCAAAATATTTACATCATAAAAATTCTACTACGTATAAAAATATTGAATAATTATAGGCTATAGCCATTAGTCTATTAGCCAATATAGAGGAAACCAATTCAATTTGCTACCCCTATTTATTTTTGAGTATTCGCCACTGAACACGTGTACATCATGTGTGTCACAAAACCCACAATAATGTGTATTAAAAAATAAATATTTGAATTATATTATTATATTTAATACCTTTCAAATAAAATGACTACTAGAAATTTATACTTGAAAGTCGATAGTCTTATTTTTAATCACACCAATATATAATATATTGTATTCGTAAAATACTTAAGACAAATTGATACCATATTCTTGCATCAAAATTGTGAGCTTAAATTATATTTTCTTGCCATTTACTCAATAGGTACTGTAGATTTTTAGTTTAATAATATAGGACATAGATAATAGACATTTATAGAATGATAAAATGTCAACAATACAATACCAGTACACTCAAGATTGTACTCAAAACAAATTAACAGAGAAGGGGGGTGGTTAAGCACTTACCACTCCATCAGTAGTATGTCCTCACGGCTCACATGTCCTTCAGTATACCACATAGACATAATCTCAAGCCATTAGTCATTTATCTCATTATCTTTTTTACACTAAAAGATAAAATTGCTCATATAATACATTTTAATCATACATTTGTTTAATAATTATTGTTAGTTGCACATTTATTAGAAAGTAATACACGACTAATAATACTAACTAGTTATATTAGTTATTGTAATATTAATAATTTAGGTTTGCTAATTTAATTTATGACTACATTATTAAAAATAATATTATCTTAATACAATGTTTCCGCAGATGAAAATTTAACAATGTAGTGTAACTGTTAGTAGTAATGGGTTAAAAATTATTTAAATAATAATTATATTTTTAAGATGTTTAGGTTTGCATCAGGATACAACATATTATTAATACTTGAATGAGTAAATGGAACATTCAACATAAAATATAATATAACATTTAATACAAGGTGATTACTTTTAAATTAATCAATAATTAATAAACAATTTAGTAATTATTAATAATTTAGAAATTGTTAAACTTCATTATGTTAATACTTAGGTAAAACCAATCAATGTGAAATACTAATAGCGAATCATATAATTTATTCTATTATTATTTTAGTAATAAATATATTAAACCAATAGCTAAATAAAGAAATTAATCAAATAAAAAATTAAAATGTATGAACACACCACGGTTATGAGTGAAACAAATGATAAATGTTTTACAAAATATATGAACATAATATTATTGAACTGTATTTCTGCATAACTGTATTGTGTGAAAAATATAATATTATTTTATAGATATATCTAAACTCAAAACATCACTGTGACTTGTGAGAATAAAAGTACTTATTAAATTAATTTTTTATGATATACCTTTATAGCATTAACAGTTTAATTGAATGATAAAAAAAAAATGTAATTCAATTTTTCAATTTATTTAACAATTACATTAAGATTATTGATTTTAATATTAACATTAAAAGTGTTATTAAATTGTTATATACATGACTTATATAATAGTAATAATCTAATATATTATTTATATAAAATATAAAAACGGAGATGTTTAAAAGATTTAGCTTTAGCAAAATTTGTAATCTATAAAATAAAAATCAAAGGTTTTAACAATGCTTAAAATCCTTAACAAATGATTGATAACTAATCAAGTCTGTGTTTGATTACGTTCTATCACATTATGTTGGTTAGTAAAAAAAATGTTCCATGGTTTAAAATAAATCATTTGACACTGTATGATATATTTCACACACACACATATATAGATCACATTACAATCTTAAAAAATACATATAAGACAAAATATTTTTTTACAATCTTTTATTATTATTTAGATAGTTTTTAAGATAAACAAATAAAAACTTGCTTAAAGTGTAATTTTAAAAATATGATTTCTCAAACTAAATAATATAATCTGTAAGACAATTTGAATATTATATAAGCACATTCAATTTCAGTGTAATCAGTCTTCACACTGAACTATTATTATGATAGAATGCTTAAACTAATGAAAACTACGAAAGTTAAAAAAAAATAATGTATCAACAGACAAAAGACAATCTTAAATGTAAATGAAATATTGGAACAATAGTTGTAGAATATTTTGTTAAACACAAAAAACATAAATTATAATAATAAACCATAATTTGTATCGAACTGCGCTGTATGGTTTTTATTTTTAAATTTTAATTATTGCTTTCTACTTTTTCAGTGTCTGAAGTCTCATTTTCAACTTGGGCAGTTTCAGTTGTATTCCCAGACAATTCTTCAACTGTCAATTCTTCTTGAGGTTGAGGAGCTTTAATTTCTAAAACAGAAATTGTATCCTGGATAGTTTTAATTGCTTTTTTTCTAGCCATACGTACATCATCTCTTCCTGTAAAATAAATGACAGTAGAATAATTTACATATTTCATTAGGTGTCTAGATGGTAATAATTTTATCATCACTGTCAACATGTGTATATATTTGAGCTTAAAACACTATAATAATAAACCATGAAAATGTTAGGGTATTTGAGAAGATAGATGGGAATAGTAAATATTATCTTGAAGAAAGTTATTTAATATTATAATTTGAATAATTATCACAGGAAACCCAGATGTAATATATTACAATGTACATATAATAAGGTTTGATTTTGGCCTAATTAAAAAAAAAATATGTATATATTATGTTACTGATACTTTATAAAATTAACATAATCACCAACTTATTCAATATGTTAAAGAAATAAATAATAATTATAAAGTGTATACATAGATAATAAAGAAATGAATAGGACATAACGTCTTATCAGTGATGAATGAAACTACGAAATGAGATCCAAATAAGTATACCTATATCAATTAAAAATTAATAATTTTACTATAAATATACCATATAATATATTACCTTCAGTTTCAATGGTATCTAGCTTAATCAAATTTCTTGTAAGCATTTCATCCAAATAAATATATTGCTTGTCAAGACGCGAGGAACCAGAAAATTGATTAACAGCTACTAACAATTCTTCTACATCAGCTTGAACAATTTGCACTTTTTCCAAAGCGTCTACTGGTTTAACTTGTTGACGAGGAGTGGGTGGAGGAGTGGATCTGGTTTCTTGTGGAGGAGTTTGCTGACGATGTTGAGAAGGTGGGGTTTGACGCCGTTGTGCAGTATTTTGGTCATGAAAGGAATGATGTTGTGCAAATGGAGTTAGTTTACCAGCAGATCGTTTTGGCAAAGTTGAGCTGTTATTTTCATTAAATCTTTGATCAACATTCTTTGGATACACTGGTTCAGAACGGCCTTCCACATAAATCGGAATGTGTCGCACATTAGGTTGTTTTTGAGTTCCGTGGGATGGTGTGGATGAATCAGTTTGGGGTTGTGTTTGTGGTTGAATATTTTCAGATTGATTATTAATAGGATTTACTGGTGTAAATTCTAATTTAGATACAAATCTTTGAGGTTTATCATCATTTTCCTGAGATCTTGAATTATTTTCGAACGGATGCTGGTGCTGCTTATCCATGTTTTCTTCAAATCGTTTTTTATCAGGACTAGAATCAGTATGGTCGCTGTAATTGTGATTGAGATCTGATGGTCCCTCAGGCGCGTTATCTTCTCCAGACACAGTGCGTTTACGGCTCCAACTCTTAGAGCTAGGTTCACCTCCCCAAGGTGGACAACGCAAATGACCAGCAAGATCTGGATGTCTTTTGGCTAAATCTTCTAAATGTGAACGAACACTCAAATGACCTCTTAGCACGTCATCATCAAACGGAAATTCTTCCTAAAAAAAAAAAAATTGTTTTAAAAAAATGTACTCGTATGCCACGTAACTATTACGGAAATACGGCCAAAATATAATATTCATAAATCCATTTTTTTTTTTTCAAATGCAATTTACTAATAATAAAAAAAATGTAGACTAGTTTATGGTTTTCAGCAACAACAGTAACTAAATATTATGGAATTCTGCTTAGATGAAATAGAATGTGTAAAATATAATTATATTTGACAGTTTGAGTGATCATTAATTATAAAGAAATGAATGTTGACCACATAATAATATATATTATATTTAATTCCCACTATCTGTTTACTCGGGAATGATTTTTCGCACATCGAGGTAACGACTAACGCCTGTGTGTGGGAGGGAAGACCATGAAGATCAGTTTCAATTACAACAACAAGCCACGACAATGCAACATATTTACAAAAGGGAAAATTAATTAAAAAAATATTTGTTTTTAATCCTGTAAATTGTAAAACTGATTTAAAAATTTCGTAATCGGTTTTAAAAATATAACAAATATCGTTTATTTTAGGATCAAATAAAACTGACTCTTAGGTGACCATGAAATAACTATATTATATTTATATAAAATATAATTTTGATGCATTACTTTCAAGTTTAATTACTAAAATTAGATAATTCGAGTTTCTTTAGATTCATTGGTGATAGGTAGGCTGTATTTCAGTATTTGGTAGTAATTGCATATCAGACGTATTCATTACAGATCTAATGATTCATTTACCGAAAAGTAAAAAGCAATAAATTATACGTATGTGATATAATAATCTTACTCTGGACTACGGTATAGAATACTATAGAAAATAAACATGATAAGCAAACATAATAAGTAATAATATATTATAAGATATATATTATTCAACTCTAAAATCACTATTTTACGATTGGACCTTTTTATATCATCAATAGTAATGTTACAAAACATTAAACAAGTAGTGTCGGCCGTCGACGGATTACATGAAATAGAAACGCAGCCAAGATTACGATGCTGGGATCCAGGCCAATAATTTGTTGCTAAAAATAAAAAACAAAACCCATTACATATTCGTCTACCGAAGCACTAGAACAATAATTAAGAAATTGAGTCGGGCTAAATACTCGTTATTCACTACTTGAATTCGTAAATTACCTAAGTACACAAAGAAATAAAAAGTACATACTACAATACTACATAGATTATTTCCGCTTGATGCAAGTTGAAAATAATTTAAAATAACAATATCAAATATCATAAATATTTATCTGATTATTAGGTAATTAAAATAACATTACATATGTTTTAAGTATAATATTAAATATATGCCCTTTAAATATAGATCCTAAGTGGCAAATAGAGAACAAAAAATGTAATATTGGAATATATTTACATTTTTAATTGTTACAAACATGTAACAATAATGGCCAAATATAAATAGAATCTTAATATCTAATTCATCAAAAAATTAAAGATAGCATGGGTTCAGCCTTATTAATAAAATATAAATAAATAGGTACATATTATCAAAATAAATACACTCTATAATCATCTATATATATATTACACCATAATTATGTCACTATTTATAACAGCATTATTAATCACGAGTATTTCAAACCCTTAGAAGAAATAGTATATTTTTATGTTATATAATTCATAATAACATATTAGCTAGTTAATTAAGCTAAAAGTTAATTTATCCCTATCAATTGTCATACAATTAAACGTTATTAATAATATTATGTTAAATACTCAAAATTATAAGTCGATAAGTTGATTAAAACAACTTAAAAATTTAAAGATCAAAATTAAATTATCAGCATAAAAATAAAAATTTGTTACAGGTACCAACACATTATTTGGCTACTTTTGAAGTTATTTGCGACTTAGTAGTCGGGAATATAATATGATTATGAAACGCTGTTCTAGACAGAAAGTTGGAATGAAATATTATGATTTGTGAATATTTCATATTTTGCAAGAACACAATAATTTTAAGTTTAAAACACAAGTTAAGGAGACCGGTGGTGGACACTTTTTAAGTACTTCGAAATAAGCAATTTTCAAATTGCATTCATGCGGGTCTTGTAAATGTGTGAGTAGTAACTAGTAAGTGATCACTGGTGTGTGTGACTGACGACTGTCAAGAAATAGAGCGTTCCCGCACACGCTTGTACAAGCCACAAGGCACTCACCGGTGTTGCATGCGTGAACGGTAAACAATTTATGCTCGATTATATGTACTTTTGTTCCATCCTACCGATCGACCTAATAATGCGATCATTTTTGAGAGAACTGTTCTGAATTCGTTATAATGTGTACTTGAGATCAACATTTTAAAATGTCTGATTTAAATTCGGAATAATCGTTAGGAAATTCGAAATTTCAAAATATTCAGACTAAATGTATAGTGGTTGCCTTGTTGGGAGGGTGAAATTGAGAAAAGTGGACTGACCGATCCCAAATATACATAATAAAGAATCCAAATCAATTTTAAAAACTTATTGCATATCTAGGTCGATCAGTATGAATAGTATGATGCATGGTTTAAATATACAAGGTTATTGCACATAGCCCATATTGTTATCAAACAAAAATAAAATGGAAGCGTTAGGGTACGGTCCATATCATGCATATAATATCATAGTATAGACTGTATACGTCGTCCCCTTACGCTGCCATTTTAATTCCTTAACGTGATAAAATGATATAGTGGCGGTACTATTGCAACCATGTATATTTAAGCCATGGTATGATGGAAGAAAGATTGGTTAGGGTAAATATTTTAAATATTTGAGAAATCCTTCAAAATCAATAAATTGACAGTTATTAGAACATGACCCAAAAATAATAAATACTTATAAAATTTATTATACGAATTACCCTATTACTAGGTGTAGCTACACCTTGAAAATAAGGGGTGGCTGGGCATAAAATAATCAACTTGAAATATGTCCATAATTAATCACAGATTATAATGGTTAATACCTTAATATTTACTAATATAATCAATTAAAATATGAGGAGGTGGGTACCACCCGGGTAAAATTTTTTCTTGCTACACCTGAAAAATATATCTTGAGCACCACTGCGAATTACTATTTATAAGAAAATTCATTAGAAAAGAAATAATAATAATTTATAGAATTTCCAACAAAACAATATTTATAGAAACAATAAAATATGGTTAAGACTTTAAGAGGACGCCACACCCGCAATCCGCATGTGTTGTCTCCATCTTACAAACCAAATTTACGCTCAGAAATTCAAATTGTATGCCGTTAGCTTAAAAATTAGAGTGAATACTCATGAAACTTGATGGTAAGAACATTACCTGTGTTTTGTTAGAAGATTTTTTACGATAATTCAGTTTAAAAGTGAGTTACGCGTGTATAATAAATGTAAATTAAAAATGTTCATAACTCACTTTATTATCGTAAAAAAACACAAATAATGTTCTTAGCACCAAGTTTCATAATAGGTCGATTCACTCTAATTTTTAAGCTAAGGGCATAAAATTTGAATTTCTGAGCGTAAATTTTGTACCTATGTTACGAGTTTGTAAGACGGAGACAACACATGTAGGCAGTGGCGCCGAAACCAAAAAAATGAGGTAGGGCTAACTTTCAAAATTATGAGACACCACCACCCCCTGACCAATAATATTTGACGTTTACAAAAAATATTTGATTCACCAGTATAGTTTCAATCTATAACACATTTTTAGATTCTGAGTGAAACGATGAATGTATTAATTTTACAATGATGTGTGTTTTTCTATTTTTTTATTTTTTTATTTTTTTTATTTTTGTGTCTGTGTACACGATAAGTAGTCGAAATAATGCTTCGATTTTCTACTTCAGTATCTTATTCGATTGGAAAGTGAATATCGTTGGTGTATTGAGGAGGTCAATTTAGGAGGTTTAAAATTCACAGTACTTTTCAAAAGCGCCAAGAAAAACAAAAGAAAAATTAAGGAAAAATGGGAATTTTTACCCAAAATCGATTTTTCAGAAAATTGAATTTGGTTTTTGGTGTAACTTTAAAACAAATGACCGTAGATACATGAAATTTTCACTGGTTGTTTATATTTGCATTTTCTATACACGATAACATTTTCAAAATATTTTGATTTATTTTGAACTGTTTAGGGACATTTTCATTTTTCATTTTTTTTTAGTTTTTTTTTTCTAGAAATATCAATAAAATTTTATTTGTTGGTTAAAAAAACTTGAAAATTTAATAGAAGGCCCTAGTATATTGTTTCAAAGGCAGATGAAAAATATTAAAAATCGTTAGTCACAGTTTTTTTTTATAAGCATTTAAAGTTCAAAAATTGACAAAATATGGAAAAATCACGAAAATTAGCAAATTATTTTGAGTTAAGAATTCGTAAAAATTTTTCTTTTTAAATCTAAGATTTGAAAATGTAATACAAGATTACTCATAAGTTTGTCTACCTTTATCAATAAAAAAATCTCTACCGGACAGTCAAATTAAATTTTTATGAGCGTTTGAAATTCAAATTTTTACAACATTGGATGTTCACTCGATATCTCATGTAGCGATTTCCTTATTTTGTTGTTATTCATAAACGAATAACTATAGATACATGAAAATTTCACTGAATGTTTATATTAGTATTTTCTATACACCATACAATTTTGAAAATATTTTGACTCATTTTGAGCTGTTTACGGATATTTTCATTTTTCAATTTTTTTAGTTTTTTTTTCTATGAATATCAATAAAGTTTTATCTGTTGGGCCAAAAAGTGTAAAAATGTAATACAAGGCTCCTGGTATATTGTTACAATATCAGTTGAAAAATATTAAAAATACATAGGCACAATTTTTTTTATAAACATTTAAGATTTGAATTTTAAAAAAATTTATGAAATTTAAAATTGAAATTTGTTGTTAAAAATGTATAAAATGTTCAACTTTTATAGCTAAGGATTGAAAATTTAAAACAAGATTCCACGTAAGTAGTTGATTCTCTTACCGAAAAATCTAAAAAATATACAATCACAGTTTATTTTTATAGTCATTTTATGTTCAAATTTGGACGAAATTACATATTAAAAAACCTAGTTATTTTGTTGTGATTATATAATATTATTCGTGGGTACCTACTTGAAACTTCTAAAGTGTACTATTATGTATCTATGATAGTATCAGTGTTTGTTATTGATGTTGATGTATAACGTGTTATAAGTAGGTACCTAATGGATATTGTGATAATGTAATATGATTAATTTGGAATTTATTATAGGTCAATTTTTTTTTAAAACCATAGATATGTATATAATTTGTCTTAAACCTAGACTGACATACCGTCTTCGCTCAGAATCGTTTTTCTTATACAATGATATTGTATCATTGAATTCAAATTTAATAGCATCCATTATACAGTGACCCACTTGTAACCTACAGTACAGCAGAGCGACATCCACTTACCCACCTTTATATTAGGTAAACCTTATCAGTAATCGTTATACATACTTTTATTTTGGATTGAAATTATACCAACATATTATACATAATTCCAAATTGACTTACTAGACACTAGTTATGTTTTAAAATATAACTTATAAATATTTTATGCTTACTATGGTTTGCAGGTTAACAAGATAATTATTAGCACTACCACAAATTAAGTTCTAACTATTAGGTAATAGGTATTATATGCTATGCTATTATGTGTATATGCAATGCTTCCACTGATATGCTTTTTTTTTATCTGATCATTGAATAGACAACGACCGTGGTACCTAACATACTATATTTACTAACTAATTATCATGGTTTTAATTAGGCTGTATTTAGGCTGTAGATTGCCTGTAAGGCTGTAAAGGCGTAGGCTACAAAAATAAGTCCACCTATAAGTAACTCGTTGACACAATCACTGAACCACCAAACCACCCACCCACCACCTAAATATTATGAGGTAGGGCATCCGCCCTACCTGAATATAGGGTTCGGCGCCACTGCATGTAGGTGTGATTTAAACAATTCGATTTGGAAAATTAATATCAAATGTAATTCTGAATATAACTTAAAAATATTTTATTTGCATATTTTGAATTTTGAATTATAAAAATAGAATTGTACTTTGAAAACTATATCAAAGAAGAGTTTTAAAAAGTAAAAAAAGTTTTAGTAATTATTTATAATTAAGGTATAATAAAGGTATAAACAATTAATAAATAATAATGAATAAATTATAAAATGAAATATAAGATTGTCATAGAAATCGGGTAAAATTATTAATTATAAGTACACTAATTCATTTTGTTGTCATTGTCTTTTAAATTCTCCAAGGTAGGTACCTATATTAATTTATTATTTTTAATTAGGTATCAATATCCCAAAATCATGATTTTTATACTTTCTAGTTATCTAGTTTCATAATCACATTAAAATGTCATTAATTAAAATCAATATGAACATTATATTAATTTTAACCTAACCTTTATTGTATACTGTATAATATACTTAATATAATAATATTTTAGCTGTAAGTTTCTTTCTACTAACACTGGCACAAAGATTTCAATTTGAAATAAATTTTTATCATACTTTGTCAGTATGTAGAAAAAATATTATTAAAATATTAAATGAATATCCTATAGGTACGAATTATCTATTGTTTGACATTGACATTTAGTCATTTAGCAATCAACAATCAACAAATACTAGTAAAACTTAGCATAAAAATATTGATAGTTTGGTTAAATATTTAAGTAAAAGTTTACATAACTTATTACTTGAGTACTCAACACTTGTAAAGTCTAAAATTATTATAATCTTATACAAAGTAATTTCAATAATTTTTTAATGAACTGATAAATGATACAAATTTATTGTCTAACAAATATTTCATTTGTAGGGTAATTATGTATCTGCTTTCTACCAAATTGGCAATATTGTTTATTTGTATGAGTAAAGGTCACCACTCACTGCAGCGGTAAAATTCCTTTGTCTTGGCGATACAATTGTGTCAGGCTTCATTTTGCCTTAACCACTACTGCTGCAGTGTGTGAGGACCTTTATTAATTATTTTAATCAAAACAGTACAGTATCATTTTAAATACCTAGATGATTCATAATTTCTGAAATCAAAAAAGAATTGGTTCAATAATTTAAAATTTAAAATAAAAAAATTATGCTGAATTTTAATAATGATAATTATAATTTAATTTTATGGATCATAAAATGTATCATCCTTAAAATTTCAGTAAGGGCTTGTAAGATCAAATTTGTTCTATATATTAAAATTTGTACATAGGTCGTTAGTGGAAATGTTAGCCTGACGAGACCAACCTTATTTGTATTTCCCAAACCTACTATACTCTGTCCATCATGAGAATGCATCAATTCTATACATCCCCACGCGACAAGCCTTAATGAATGGGTGTTGCGCAGAATAACAGATTTCCTTCTGAGAGCCGCATGTTCTTGAGCTGGACAGAGTATAGAGACTACTATCAAATTAAGTAATAGTTATCAAGGTATTGACCAGACTAGACACAATGGGTGGTCCACAAACAATTATACAATATACTCTATTCAGAATAAGAAAAAGGTACCGGGCGGCCAACTTGTACATTTGGGCGTAGTTTTGTTCTGAAATCTGAATGCCGAACCAGGTGGTTGACTTGGTAGGAGAAGCATCTGACGGCCGCCGGACAAAAACTGTAAAACTCGCAGCCAGGTACTTTCCTTATTCTGAATAGAGTTTAGCCCAGTTCAGTCCTGTCCTAATCCCCCTGTAGTATAACCTTCTGTAACTTGTAAGTCTGTTTACCATATTAATATAATAGACAAAAGACAATTTTTTTTTTTTTTTTTGGAAAATAACAAGATGAATAATTTAATATGTGTTTAGTGGTACACAGACTATGTATCTTAGTTATCTATAATCAGTAACTCATAATATAATAAATCTTTGAATAAATAAGGTAGGAACTAGTAAGGATCTCACTTACTAAAAGTACTTTACATACATCTATTGTCTAAAAGTTATTTTAGAATGTAAAATACTATGTTTAACTTAAAACAATAATATATAGGTATTAGATTATATTTTAGGAAACTAATTACTTACCTGTATTGAAAAATAGTCAATAGACTAAAAATATTACAAAATTATGCTCCACATACCAATTAAAAATACTCTATTTTTGTATTAATGATGTAGATTATAATTCAGATGTTAGATTAGTGCATAAGTGGTAGGTAGTAATCCATAGAAATATAATATTATTTGTGATGTATTACTGTATTAGTATAATTTACTTGGTTAGATCAAACTATATTTATCATTTTATGTTTAAAATAAAGGTTCTTAGGTACTTGTTATTTTAATCACAACAATTTATAGTTAGGTATAACAAATGAAAAACATTTAAGTAAATAAAAATGTTAAGAAAGTACCTAGTTATAACTAATATTATATTTATATAATTATATATTATAACCTTTATTTTGAAAATAGTGCATTTGTCAACTAAAAACTATGATAAGTACCTATATAGGTTTAATTAAATTGAGATTAAATATAAACTAATAACTATTGTAGATAAACTCAGGAATAAACTTTAATGATGTGTAATTTAGATATTTGAAAATAATGTGGTACACAAATACACCATAGTAATATAAATAAATATATATTGTATAACTATATAAGAAATATGAGTAGAATAGTTTAGATAAAAAATACTCTATGGATATAGTTACTTTTTAGTGTATTTTATTGAAGAATATTTTATTCACCTTATAATTCAAACATAATCAGACATTTTTAAATTGTAATATAATTACAAATATGAAATATATCCCTGGACCCTGATATAATAAAAATTTGTAACTTACCAATGTAGAGCTATGAGAGGGTGATAAAGGATAAATGACAGGATTAATTTTGGCCGCTTCCATAACATCCAAAACAGCAAAATATTTGTTACTCACTGAAGAAAACACACAAAAAAAAAACTTATCACACAACAAATACTGATATATTAGATAAAATTTAAGTTGTTAGTCAATACATATTTTTTTTAAGCAACAATGCACTGGAGAGTAGAAACAACTTCAAACAACAGTGACTATATGTTTATTTATAACAGATTAAAAAGCATTTTCATTTAAACACTATTATAAGTGTGTGGGCATAAAATTGTGTAGGCGATAGCCACACCAACTGCTCTAGAATATTCATCAATGAGGAATGCTAGATTTTTGTGTGCCAAATAAACCATAACCCAATTAAAACAAGTCCTTAATTGAATCAAATAAATATTTGATTAGCGTAAAATTAATTAATTTATATCAATGTAATAATTACAAAAATAAAATAAAATCGCCATGTCATATTGTGACATAATATAAGTAATCATTGCAAAAATAATGTATTTAATCATCAACAAATATTAAGTTTTATTTATGTATTAATACCCAAATAAGTTAACTATTTCTAGAAGGGTACCCATATAGTAAAATGCATAGTTTTTACAATTTAAAAATATTAGAAATATAATGATTGTTTAACTAGTATTACTATAGGTACAGAGTGATCAACTAAAATTAATTCTGCTATACTAATTTTCTATCAATTTTTATGGTTTGGTATTAAAATATTGTTGATAAATGATATCATATTATGTTATTATAATAAAATGTATAAAACTTAGAATACTATTTTTTGTTCATGTCGCAAAAAAATCAAACAGCTTGTATTTTGCTGTATCATAGAAATATAGAATGGCGAAATATCATAGAAATTTGCACTAAAATGAAAGCAATTATCGTATTCAAAGACTACCGAATACAATTTTGCAAAGAAACTATAATTTTCAGAATCTTGTTTAATTTATCTTGTAAAGAACCCTTCATTTAAAATGTTGATACGTAAATATTAGTTTACCTAATACAATTTTGATTTACAAGCATTTAAAGTTTAGATGATACATTTATTGCAGGGGTACCCTTCAAATGGGTATTTTGATGTAAAACAGTTAAATAATTAATAACAACATTCATTACCTAATATTTCAAAAAAAATGTTATTAGGTTTTTTTTTTTTGTAAAAATATAGTAGTACCCGATAGTACCTATAAGCACGTACCTACTTTAAGCTAGATAAAATAAATTTTCCAAAGTCATGACAATTTACAGAAGATTAGTGAGGGAAGTTAAATTTATAACCAAATACAAAATATACAAGGTAAAAAAAGAACATAGGTATCTAATTATGATTACAGAAGTGGATTGAGAAGCTTAGAATTTGCAAGAAAAATTATTGGACCTTCAAAATGTAATTTTCTAATTAACTACACATTTATATCCCAATGATTAAATATACTAACCTACATAGCTCTAAATATTAGGTATATGATTTACATTTTACAGTTTTATAAAATATTTACAGACACAAATCTGAAATCATACAAATTAAAACAAAAGTTGTTCTCAATAATTGTAAGACTACCTATTGAAAACTAAGATATTTTAAATATTCCTATTAATTTAGATTTAGATTAAAATTTCAAACTGGTTTGTTTAAAAAAAGATTGATACAGGTAATGGAAGGTTTTGGAATCATACTGAAACACTACATAAGAGATTATTAGAAAAAATATTTCTACTAAGGGCCGATTTCACCAACCCAGTTAATCACGATTAAAGTTAACCGGAGTTTAATTGGCCGAATTTGCCCGGTTAAATATCTGTTATCAGCCGATTAAGCGTGATCGAAGTTTAACTGTGATTAACTGTGTTGGTGAACTCGGCCCTAAATCACAAACTAAGATAGTATCTACTTTAAATACTATCTTTGTTCATGGTTTGAACTACAAAAGTAATAGATTAGGTTAAGTTAATACGAAAATATTATGTTTCTTCTATTATAAGTTAAAGTACCAATAGAAATCTGTGGTACTATACTATACAGTAACTTTGCCTTAGCATGTTCATAGAATTATTTCTGGTGACCATGTCCTGTAAATTGTTAATTGTTTACACCCTTGTTTCACAAATAAAAGTGCGATTTTAAAAAATTAAAAATTAAATTAAATTGTTGCAAAGCAAAAGAAAAATAGTTTATGTTACACTTGCATTCTACTTAGTTAATAGTTGTTAGGTTATATAAATTTAAAAAAGCTAAAAACTCAATATTAAACTATTCACATGGAACACAAAAAATATCTAATAAGTAAATAGTAATGATCATATATTTAAAACCCTTAAATAGCTAGTTATAATAGGAACCTACCGGCTACTGACTAACTTAGGTAGAAACAAGGCATGGTATAATTCCTATTACGACCTATTATAGAAACAAATTAATGTAATTTGAATACAGGCAAATATGTGTACAGAATATAGATAATTTGTATTGAAAAATCTTTATGTAGGTACAGAGGTATAATATAGGCATTAATAACCAATATGAATTATTAAAATGAATAGGACTATTCAAGAATAAAATCATATTAATTGTATAATTGATTAGTTTAATTTAATTTAACTTAAGAACTTTTCTGACATTAGATATATAATGCATAGGTACCTGCTCTACTCAATAGGGAATAGCTCTACAGTAGTTCTACAAAAATATAATTCAATGAAATAAAATAAGCCAGCAAACAAACCATATTTCTATAGGAATACCAAAGTATAATGTTTGCTAATATTAACGTACCCTTTGAGGAGAAGTCCTGGAGTCAGATTTGTCAAAAAACATGCTATTTCCACCGGTGTTGCCGAACTCTCGGTTGATCTCTTCCAGTATTTCGTCCGTGGACTTGCCGCGAATGCGATCGCTCAACTTTGACTTGTTACGATCCCGGCGATCAGCAAAAGGCATATTACTCTTGACACAGCATCGATCGTCCCTGTCGCAATTTACGAGGGAATGGTTATGGACGTCCGCGAAAAGTTGAATGACACGGCGGTGGATAGGAAATCCGCTAAGACGATCGCCGGAAAAGGTCGAAAACAGGTTAGGTTTCTAAAGGCGTTAGGACGTTAGGTACAGCGATAAAAAAAGACTACGCCAAGGGGGGTCAGCATATAATATTAATGATAAAAATAATAAATAACGATGACCGCGAGAAGAAAAATCATCCGACGCGACCGTCAGACCAGCTGCAAATAAAGCACGGAGAGTCGGAAAACAATCAGTGAACAGTGATACAGTAGAATGTAGATACACCATACACTGATACGGAAAACAAATCTAGAAGATTCGAGTAAATCGGGTCGGACTGATGGGATTGAGGAATGGGGAACGTGAAAACACTGAAATCGGACAGCTGCGTCGGTTACCCCCGCCAAAGAAGACAGCTGACCAATGGCAATGTGGAGTTGTATGATAAGTGATAACAGGTATTGATAAATAAATAAATTGTTAAAAACAACAAAAATTTAATGTTTCTGAATTTACTATTTTTTTTTAGTACCTATTCGCGATTGAAAGGAAATATAGGTAGCTAACTAGTCGATACTAATGATAGAGCTAACGGGGAACATGGTCGCCCGGCGGCCGAGGCCCGTGCTGTCCACAGTCTACTTAGTACTTACTACTTTCTAGTTTCTAGGTACTTAGTTTACTTAGTCTACTTTCTCGTTTCTACTGCAAGCAGTTGTAGTTGATGCTCACGCTAAGTTTATTGTAATAGAAGTTGGAGATTATGGTCGGTCTAGTGATAATGGGATTTTCAAAGAATTCTTATTTGGTAAACAATTATTTATTCAAAATAAATTAGATTTGCCAGCACCCAAAAAAAATTGATAAAAATATTAATGAATATTTCCCTTTTGTATTTGTTGAAGATGAGGCTTACCTACTTTTAACCTAATTTGATGAGACATTTACCTAGTAGAAATTTTACAAACGAAAAACTTTTATGGTATAATATACAATTATCGACAATTCCATGCGAGAAAAAAAATAGCATGTGAATTTGGAATTATGGTAAAAAGGTTTAACGTATTAGAAAATAAAATACTAATCAGACCTGAAAAAACTACAAAAGTAACTCAGGTGATTTGTTTACTCCATAATTTAATTGCGACTAGAGAAGCTAACTTCCTTTGTACAACTCTTAATAAGACAGTTGTAAAAATAAAAAAGGTGCTCTGCTGTACAGTAGGTTACAAGTGGGTCACTGTATAATAGATGGTAATAAATTTGAATTTAATGATGCATCATTTGTCAGTCAAGGTATAAGACATATATTATATACTTATCTATGGTACCCAGTGGCGCACACTGGAGGGTTCAAGGGTAGCAGTTGCTACCCTGGATTTTTTTGGTAGGTGGGTGGGTGGACCCCCTGGCTCCAAAATATTTACATCATGAAAATTCTATTACGTATAAAAATATTGAAAATAAACTATTGAATAATTATAGGCTATAGCCATTAGTCTATTAGCCAATATAGAGGTAATCGAATCAATTTGCTACCCCTATTTATTTTTGAGTGTGCGCCACTGATGGTACCTATTAAAAAAAAATTGCCCTATAATATGTACCTATAATAAATTCCAAATTAATCATATCACAATATCCATTAGGTACTTATAACGCGAAATACATCAACAACAAACCCTGATACTATCATAGATATATAATAGCGTACTTTAGAAGTTTCAAGTACCCGCGAATAATATTATACAATCACAACAAAATAACTAAAATAGTTATTCTAGGTTTTTTATTATGTAATTTCGTCCAAATTTAAACTTAAAATTACTATAAAAAGAAACTGTCCTTCTGTATTTTTTAGACTTTTTAGTAACAGAATTAACTACTTACGTGGAATCTTGTTTTAAATTTTCAATCCTTAGATATAAAAGTTGAACATTTTATAAATTTTTAACTACAAAATAATTATTCAATTTTAAATTTGATAAATTTTGTGGAAATTGCCCAA